CAGCACAGAGCCACCGGCGTGCCTGCCATATCAAAGCGCTGCGCTGAGTGACGGGCACAGGGCGCGCTTTGTACTGCTCAAAACTCATTAGGCCATGAAATAACTTCATCCTGCCAAGGCAGGAAAGAACAACAGATGCCGAGTTCGCATTATCGGCGTTGTTTAGCCCAGCAATCTTTAGACATTTGGGTCAAGTTTCTACAAATTCGCGGCTTTCATCCGCACGGGGCATCGTGTGTCCTCACCCCCCGCTCTGACCCGCCTAATTGAGGTCCCTCTCCAGCACTGCCCTTTGTGTGCCAACAATTAACCATACACCAACGAGGTTTGATTTAATTTCCGACTGCACCAGGGCATAAATCAAGGCTTCAGCTCGAATAAGGGGCCCATTGTATGCCGCAAGGGCGGGAAGGCTCTGGAGGGTCTGGGGATCACGCTCCGCCTGCTTCCCTCTCCTCTCCATCCTTTACCTTTCCACTGCTCTCCTCCTGCTCTGCCCGTCTCTTGCCCCCTCTTCTTCCCTCATGTCTTCCTCCACGCAGCCATACCCCCTTTCCGCTAGACGCCGTTGCCGCTCCTGCTTTGTTTCCTAAAATAAGCAACCGTGTGCTCAGCCTTTAAGCATCATTAGGTTTCAGGAGCAACACTCCTATAAGACTCAAGAGAGTCAGAGGCGAGTTCATAAATCTCTCTTGAAGGCAACCTGCGGGCTTGGGCAGCATAAGCACATCAGTAATATCCACGTCGCGGCTGTGAGGTTTGGCTCGTAACCGTGGGGCAGGCGGTTGGCTTTTCCCTCTTCCAGGCTATCAGCCCTGAACAGGCTCCCTGGCAACAAACTTGAGGGGACAGATCATCCAAGATGCCGCCTTAAAAATGCCTTTCTTAGGGAGTTGCATTTATACACACCTTGAAAAGATGACAACTTTCACGTAAGAACAGCAGTTAATTCCATTTGCTTAAATCATCTCCAGAACTAACAGGAAAAAATTCGGAAGCAGCATCTTGAACTTGAGGAAAAAAGTGAAATCAACTTACAGGATTCAGTCAACGCACAAAAGCCTGGGAAAAGCACAATTAGACTGGCAGAAAACTCTGATCTGCAGTCAACTCCAACCTTCAGGAAAACAGCCTGCAGAAACTGGAGTTACCAGGATTTTTCCTGTCTAGCTGCAACGCTCCCGCACGGGCTGGACCTCACATGCCCGCAGCCACACGCTCTCACCGGGGGCCCTCTCTCCCCCGTGGGAGAACCCGGCCGAAACTCCAGGGCCGCAGCCCCTTCCCCACGCGCACACGGGCACAGGCGGGCGCCCGGCACCACACGTGCCGCTCTCCGGGAGACATTTGGCTAAAACCGTCTGCACGATCTGCTGCAGAAGTTGCTAAAAATAAACCGGCAGCGCTCAAAGAACGAGTCCTTTTGATGCAAATACCCAACTGAAAAAAAAAAAAAAAAAAAGCACTTTTCTCAGATAAATGCGGCACATAGGGATATAGGCTCGGGGGGTTTTGACCCCACCTGTCCCCTGTGTGTCTGTGCGGTGCCAATGCCACCCAGCACAAAGCCCTCCCGGCAGCTAAAGGGGCTTCGCACGCTGGGGCCCCGCCCAGGGGCATTGCTGCCACGTGCACGTGAAGATACCACACGGCCTTTAATAAACAATACATACTGATAAGCAGGGGGGTTTACTTACACTTGCATGGAGTTTTCCTTTTTTTGACATCGCTAAAAATTTGTTGCTGAAAACTCCTCGTATTCCTACAATCCCCTGAGACACAGCAAATATTTCCAAAACACCTAGGATGACAGAAATCCCAAAATAAATTACCGTTCTTTTCACATCAATGTGACAAAGAAAAAATAAAAAACCAAAAATAAAAAAAAAAAAATCAGTCTGATAGGTTTGCAATTCCTCTCCACACGACCCTGCTGCTCAGCTGCCTGGCTCCAGGCGCCCCTCCTGCCCCAGCCCTCCGCAGCAAATATTTCCAAAACACCTAGGATGACAGAAATCCCAAAATAAATTACCGTTCTTTTCACATCAATGTGACAAAGAAAAAATAAAAAACCAAAAATAAAAAAAAAAAAATCAGTCTGATAGGTTTGCAATTCCTCTCCACACGACCCTGCTGCTCAGCTGCCTGGCTCCAGGCGCCCCTCCTGCCCCAGCCCTCCGCCCCGCAGAGGGACTCGCGTCGGCTCCAGCATGGCTCCAGGGTGGGGGATTTTCTACATTAAAATCTATGTTTTAGAGGATGATTTCTGACTCGGCTGTGACAGAGCGCGTCCACCCCCGGGGGAATCCCTCTCAAGGGTGGGAAAAGCCCCTTCCACCCACTGCCAGCCTGCCGGGATCAGCTTTGCCTGTCCTCCTCCCATACATGCCGGGCTCGGGAAATAAAGGTGTCAC